AAATGTTTCATTGCAACCGAAGGTGTGACACGATGAGAACGCGAAAAATGACCCCGTTTTTTATCGTTTCATGTGATTTTTTCATATTATTTTTGCTTCTATTACGATAAAATGTATTTTGTATGTAGCTAAATAGATATTTTATCATCTGATTTCAAAGTTATTGTTCTAATACCGTTTATGAACTATTATTGTGTGACCATCAAATTTGAGTGTAAATGAGAAGTACCCATTAATCACGCATTTTTTAAACTTAATAATGAGACGCTATCTAGTAACAATATACTTATTTTCACTACACTATTGTTATTAGTTTTACTATCACATTACGCCACTCGAAATGCCATTAGCTCTTTTGTGTTTACCGATAAGTTGTCATCTCAATATTCATCACCTTTCAGTCATATCCTCCTCCACGAATTCATCCACTCCCTCTTCGTCCATTCCCTTACCTCCACGCCACGTTTATTCATGACTCTTTTCCTTATGTGCTTTTCTACCCTTCTCAACTTCAACGAGGGCAAGTTTCACCAAATAATAGTTTTATATACTAGTGCCGTTTTTGCAATTTCTTTATTATTTTTTTCTATTTTCAGATCTCGGTATAATATTTTCATTTTACCGAATTGGCATTTATGTATGTGAGTAGTATAGTCAACAACATATCCAACTGTTACATATTCATCGCAATATTGCACCTAATACATTACTTATGATGCCAGAGTGCAGTCAGCGTCAAATATACCTATAGTTCGCGACGCCCAAAGTAGCCAATAAGATCGCAACACGTCTTTGTTACAATAAAATTGGAATAAGGTTGTGTTGTCAACTTTTTGGACACTTTGGGTGTCATGAACTACACTCGACAGCAAATAAATCGCACCACCCGCGACAAGCACTTTCAAACGTATGCATCCCCACTTCACACCAATATTGGTACCATTCAAAAGCCTAGTTCTAAACTTCATTTCATTATAGGAAAGGTTTTTACCCCAAAAATGTTTCTTTAGAAGGATCCAGAGTCACTTCTTCAAAAAATAGATAGTTACGCTTGAGCCAACTTTTATGGCTATAAAACTGTTAAGTTGGGATTAATCGCTATCCATCTGTTAAAGAGGACACGTGTGATCATTATTTGGTTTTATAACCATAAAATTTGGTCTAATTGATCCCAGAGGCAGAGGTGAGCCCAAAGTGAGGTCTTTTTTCAAGTCACATTTATGGTATAATAATATGTTAATCTCCTCATTTCTGATTCGATCACGCAGGGTTCATTGTGGAAAACCTTGGGGGAGGCCTTTGTCCAGCAGTGGACGTCATTTGGCTGAAAAGAAGAAGAAGAAGAGAATAATAATCATTTATTAAGAAATTAAATGTGTTTTTCTTTAAGGATATTTATTGGGCTTTCGAATAACACCAATATTGTTGGAGCACCATTATTGTGTCAAAAGAAAATCTTTAAAGTTCGCGTCGCGGGTGGTGCGATTTATTTGCTGTCGAGTGTATTTGACGCTGACTGTATCTATACAAGCATGTATTGGATTATTATAGAAACAAGAAGACATAGTATGTAAGTTACCGGTTGAACTTCCGCGTATACACGTACCGACAATCTTCCCGGATTATCATATCCGAGCCTGTGGATGTTCGGAGTAGTTCCTGAGTAATTTAATTAATTACAAGATATCTATCAGTACTCGTATATACCGCGACTTCGCTCCAACTTGCGTAGGTACAGGAGTACCGTGAATTCTAATTACGCGTGTTCCAGTTTCTAACTGGGAACTCTGTTGATTTACCGTTTTGAAATTATGATTATAACTGGGGTAGTTTTTTATTCAAAGGCGCCTGTTGTATTGTGGTCAATTATTTATTTTAGTTTATAGTTACAGTTCTGTTGGACTCCCAATACCTACATTTCCAGCGTACCTATAAAATGTAACAAAAGGATAGCATTAAATGATAGGATAAAATGGGTAGCATTTTCGAATAACGTACTTATCGAATAAGGTCACGAGCGTCTCTCACCTTATGAAGATGGTTTGTGACTGGTTTAAACGGGAGACTAAGTATGTTTCTTGCAAATGGACTGAAAATGACACCTAAGTGAAAGATGCATATTTTTATTAATTAAAGCGCTTTAAAAAATTACTCACAGCACTTAGTCGAGCTTTCACTCATTCAAAAGATCCTATTGAAAATTAAATTAAGCATTTTCTGCATAGCCGCTACAATGTGTAAGCTCCTCATTAAAATCTATAGTGAAACTTCATGAAAGGGTGGATTAGGGTGTTTTATTAACTCTCTTTGTCGGCATAGTAAGCTATTGTTGGGGGTTTCGCGGGTCTGAAAAATGGGTCCGTGAAAATTGTGCGGCGTTGAGGCGAACATATTTCATGCGCGGGCTCGGATACCATCTTAAGTGGGTTCCCGAAGTCGGGTTAGTGCCGATTATATCGCTGATAAAGTTTGTACGTACCATAAAAACGAATGGGTTGCGTAAATGGCAAGCCACATTTGTGTTGCCATTTAAAAAATACATTTACGCACGCGGAAAATGGGATACGGGCGGAGTACCATGATGATATTGGCTGTTGAGTCATGAACTACTTCCATCCAAGTGTATGTTAGAGACCGAGCTTGCGATAAAGTTGGGAACAAAATATAAACTTCGAATAACCGCTGCTATACACGCCACACACGTAAACCAACAAGACTGCATAACATAAACAGTTGCATTTCCAAATATTGTTATTATTTCAGCTGTCAGTTATTTAATACAAAGCTGGCTTTGACTGCAACGTGTTTATTTTACAAACACACAATTATTGACCGTTTTCATATTTAAAATACTTATTCATAAATTGATTTCAAAAAAATGATCAGAACGACGTGATAGATACCTAGTTCCTTTTTTTCATAGATAGCACACCAAGTAAGTATTAAGCATTTAAATATTTGTAATAGATGCGATTTTACAACTAAAATGATGTTCTATCTTCTGAACACTGACATAACCAGCTAAACGAGTGTGGGCAGAGGCAGAGGCATCGTGACATCGTGAGCGAATAAGCCGCAAGCCAAATCGAGTGCGCTGATGTTTGCCGCCACCGATCACACGCTGTGATCCGCTTGTACCGTACCAGGCTAACTCTGTTAACCACTGCTTAGCCTACCGTCAAATCTGACACCTGACGATCCTATTTTTGATAAATACGTGTTTCATTTCTGATAGATTTAGTTTATATTTATTATGAGGTATCGCGCCTTTCGTCAAAGTTTAAAATAGAGAAATATAGCTTAGGTGCGCAACCTCAGATCATAGAAAGGAATATAATCTATCTACTAGTACCTACTAGGTGGACCGACGATCTGGTAAAGGTCACGGGAAGAACCTGAATGCGGGCAGCGCAGGACCGTTCATTATGGAAAACCTTGAGGGAGGCCTTTGTCCAGCTGTGGACGTAATTTGGCTGAAACGACGACCTAATAGTACAGAAGCTAAAAACATTTGATGTTATTTAATACCAGTTTACTTAACCATTCCACAAAATGACAACAAAATTTCAAATATACCTACTTACTTAGTTCATTTGAAAATAATACCCGTCCAAAAATAGCATTGCGAACCAAATTCACAAACTCAAATGAATTTCGCAAAACAAATACGGAGCGGGCGAAGCTGGCAAAAGTTAAACGAAGCAACGCGATACTAACCCTAAAATAAACTATCAAACGGCACAAACAAAGCAGAATCATTGTTTCAAAGTAAACAGAGTTCGCAACAAGAGTAGATAACGCGTTGTAGTTCGCAGGTGCAGCAGGAAGTTGGCGAACATTCGTTGGCGGCTCGAACCAACTGGAAGGATATAGCTGACTTTACTACTCAAGCAATACATGTTGTCCGTCTGTATATCGCTTCTGTCTTACTGATCTGTTGCCACCACTCAAGAGCGCAATATTGACTTGAGTGTATTTATCTTGCGACAGTGAAAACTTGGTCCTATTTTAAAACCAATACACGATTTGACTCGAGTAACATTGTATTATATTTTTACGACCTCTGCAAATATAAAAATTTTCTTCCTCCTATTTGCATCCAAACGATTCCTACGACTATACACTTAAGGTTTAAATTCCGTCGGGGCTTGTCAAGATTGAGTTTGAAGTAGGCTGTGCGCCCTAGTTTCATTTGGGCTTTGTTTTAAAATTCTTCAGCTGCCAAATGTGGTGCGCGGAATCGGGGTCGGAACTTGTTAACCTGTAACTAATCGTGGGGCTGCTGGCAATATCTTCGTACCGGTGAGAATTAAACTTGACTGATTAAAAACCCTCCTTTTTACTTAATAACAACGAAAAGAGACAGCTACCATAAATTTTGCCTTGTACGGAATTTGTGCTTAAAAATACTTACAACTTCGATATTTATTTTGATACTAGCTTTTGCCCGCGGCTTCACCCGCGTGAAATTTAGTTTGTCACAGATCGTCATAAATTATTGCCTATATGTTAATCTGGGTTATAAACAATATTACAGTAAAGTTTCATCAAAATCCGTTCAGTATTTTTCCAATAATTCTTGAAATGGTGATCTTATGAGATTACTTTTTTTTTTATGTGATAGGAGGCAAACGAGCAGATGGATCACCTGATGGTAAGTGATTACCGTCGCCCATAGACACCCGCAGACCCAGGGGCGTTACAGGTGCGTTGCCGGCCTTTAAGATACATTGCAGATTCAATCAAAGTCAATTTGACGAACTAGTACTATAGAAACTAATAAAATCACCAAGAATGAGGTGAAAATGACGTTTGTAAAACAAAAATATACCAAGACCCATTTCCTTTTCACGGTTCAGCAAGCGTCAGAGAGCATTTGAGTGTTAAGTATTTCCCCGCTGTTCTGTATGGTTTCCTCCGAGCCCGGCGCCCGGCCGATCCGACGCTTGCAACCGTATAATGACTTTGTTTTTTCGCGGATCCGCCATTGTAGTCACACTATGTCTCCCGAGAAACAGGTCAGCTGAGAAAAGTGATGGTTTGCGATACAAACACGAGGCGATGAATTTAATGCGGCTTTGTGGGTTTCAGACCATGAAAAGTAACGTTCCGTACGTTCATCTAAATATATAAAACAGACTGACTGGCTGACATAGTGATCTATCAACGCACAGCCTAAACCACTAGATGGATCGGGCTGAAATTTGGCATGCAGGTAGATGTTATGACGAAGGCATCCGCTAAGAAAGGATTTTACGAAACTCCACCCCTAAGGGGATAAACGGGATCCACGCGTACGAAGTCGCGGGCGGCCGCTAGTTCCAATATAAACATGACGCGTCAATGCAAGTGGTCAGTTGTTTATAAGTTGGACTCTCGTCTCAGAGGTTCTGGATTCGATTTCAGGAGCGACACACTCCGTGTAAAAACCATCTGGGTGTGTTTTCGTCCAGTTTGTATGTATCAATCTGATTGAACAAGAAGAAAGCTAGCTAGCTACAAACATTTAACGAGTTTATAATCTCATAATGAAATTAACGGTACAGTAAAAAAAATCAGAACTATACCTTATACAAGTCGCCAAACCATATAATACATGAAACTACCCACATTATTATATGATGAGAGCCGCTAGAATAACAAATGTATATCCCATTCAGGCTCAGACAGACAAAAGCTTAAAGAAACTCATTTTCCAGAACCTAACCCTAGACCCTTTTTATTTGATTTGCCAGCCCAAGTGCGTGCCACAATGATTCTGTTACATATTAATATCTTTTTGGAAAGGAATCACATGGCATGTGTTGAGAACCAAATAAAACTTATTGGAAGATTTTACAATAGTAACGTAAACGTAAATTGATGTTTTCTACTTCAAAATGTCTGGCTAGTTACAGAGTAGGCACGCAATTAGTTGATCGAATAGCACTTAACAACATCATTTTTGTAACAAGTCGGATATTTGAAGCAGCTAGTCCTTTCATTTGCAAGCACCCATTCACGTTATTTCTGCGCGAAATTGATTGAAAACTGTATACAGTTCGAAAACGGAGCCGGAACGAGTAATTTTCGCAATTAAATGTTTGTTTTGTAGCAATTGTAACAACTTTTACAGCTGTTAATTTATTTTCAACTAGCTTTTCGAAAATTCAAAACCAATTATTTTCTCTAAATGGGGTTCATTTTATGCTTGTTATTTTGCACAGGTAAAGGACATTGTCAGAAACCGCCTAAAAAACCACCCAAAAACATTAACCCATCATAATTATTTTCTATTTTTTTTAATACATTAANCGTATAGGTAATACCTCAAGGGTGGTCCCATTTAAATTTAATAATAGAAAAAACAACCCCCAAGGGTGGAAAATTGGGGATGAACTTTTTTATACGCAATATCTCCGCCGATTATAAATCAATTTGAACGATTATTTTTTTGTTGAATAGGTATTATCAAAAGGGTGGTTTCATGTGAATTTGAAGAAAGTATTTCACCCCCAAGGGTGGAAAATTGGGGATGAACTTTTTTATACCCAATATTTTCAATTTTTAGTTTTTTTTTGTGTTCACGCATTTGAAGTCGGTTTTATTTTTTTAAAAAGTTAATTATTATTTAAAAAAAACCGGCCAAGTGCGTATCGGACTCACACACAAAGGGTTCCGTACCATTGATTTATGAAATTAAAATTATTTGTCTAGTAGTTAACGGTAACATTACTTTGTGTCAGTGTCATAACCATGGCATTATTAGCATCATAGACTTTGAAGTGGCTCCACTGAGCCGCCCCACTAATTTTAAATATTTTATTTTGTCAATGCATTATTATATAATACGATTCGCTTTCAAATACTTGTAACGACTTAACGCTTTAAATTAACTGAAACTGAGAATATACGCAATTTTATGAAGAAAAAGCATTTAATTCGCAATATATCAACACGCCTCTTCGAGTTACGAGCATCGCAGCACCATTATTATTTTTTTAATTTAAGTATGAAAGATTACGCCGTCCGNAGGTATTATCTATACGCAGAAAAAAGATTTGTTCAAATCGGTTCATAATTGGCGGAGTTATCGCGTAACAAACATAGAAAAAAAAAACATACGGGTCGAATTGAGAACCTCCTCCTTTTTTGAAGTCGGTTGAAAAGGCCAAACATTACGCTTCACTTTCCCGCCCAGCAGTTCACTGTTTTGTTAACCTTAATCTGTAACTGTGGGTTACAGTTCCACTGATTAAGTTACAGTTGAGATAACGCAAGGCAAATACACTGTGTTAATTCACAACTGAAATAGGCGACACCTTGTGGTGGGAGATAAGGGTAGACGTGGGGAGATACGAACGTTACCCGTTAATATCTCGTGGCGTGGCTATTATGGAATCGCTCGACAATGAATAACGTTGACGGAAAATTTCACCGATACAATTTTTGGAATTTAGTGTCCGATTAGTACTTGAAAGTACAGTTTAAGGTAAATAATGGTACTCCTGAAAGGTTGGTTAGCACTAATTATGATTAAGCTTTTTAAGTTATTCACTGATAGGTACCGGTAAGTAGTGTTGTAGGAATAACAAAGTTTTAAGTAACTTTTTCTGTAAGCAGTAATTAAAAGTTGAGTAAATCAACATCAATAAAGTTTTCAGTAACCAACCTAAGTTTATTTACATCCGACACGGTCGTGAACTCCTAATTGAATGTATTTATAATTAGGAAGAACTTACATTTACTTAACTTACACCAACAGCTCGCCAACTAGAAATATCTGGCTTTTTATTGAGTTTGCAGAATAAAAGTCGAGCGATTCAAGAATCGCAGCACCAGATTTAGACGGGTTTGGCACGCCGGCGTGTTTGCGTGGCGATAATCCACGGGAGATGTCATTTGCCGCCATAGAGGCCGGTCCTCATAATTGCTGGCAACACTGGCGACGTCGGTGCAACGATTATGGTTAGTGAGGTGTACTATGACGTCATTCGGGGGACAATCTTAGGCTTTATGTAATTTATTCATGGGGAAATTAAATTGTATGTTGTTTAAAGGATATGAAAATTGTCGACAATGTGCTGTAATAGTTTAGCTTATGAATAATAATTGTAATTGAAAATTTATGATTAAGTAATTAATTGCACATGACGTATCTTGTTAGTTTACTATAGGAATGGCTAATATACTTACTTAGTAGGTACCTACTACTGGTACTATAGGCAACAGTGTTAACTGCATATTGCCAGTCATGTCATCTCGTTCTATCGCAAAGAATCACCATTTGATTAGAGCGAGAGCAAAAAAGGAAATGGATAGTTAACAGTGTGGCCGTGAGTACATATTATATCAATAGAAGATAATGATTAAAATGCTTTGAATGACATAATTTGACTTCTTATTTTCTATTTTACTAAACAAAGCACAGATTTTTGAAACATTGGATTAATTTCGAAAGCTTAATATACGTAATCCGTATTTCGGTTTCTCTTCTGTTCGTGAATGTTCAATCGAAAATGTATCCACAACAAAAATATTTGCACAGAAACTACCAAGCTTTTAAGTCCAAAAGCAAACCTTTAAACACGACAAAAGCTCTCACGAAAATTCGTCGTTTTATTCAAGGAATAATACTAAAGCACTGGAATCGTTAAAACCACTTCTGCCATCGGCTTTCAGACGCAATCTTTTTAAGGCTGGTTTACAAGAGTTGATTTTAGTCTCTCGGTCTTTGGTTTTAACGAATTGCTAAGTTTTCTGAGATATAAAACTACTAGATAGGTAACTTAAGTAAGCGGATTTTCAGAATTGCATTTGGCGTGGCTTCAATCAGTTGTGTAAATTAGTCATCTTTTTTGTTCGGAATAATATGATAGACTAGCTTTCCGCCCGCGGCTTCGCGCGCGTGGACTACATTATCTACATATTTTACGGAACCCTATTTTTTTCAAAAATAAAATACATTGTGCAATAGCAAGTAAGTAGTAGACTTAAAATGCATTTGGCATGCATATTAAAGGCACGTTAAGAAGCCACGCCATGACCAGTAGGCCTAAGATGCGCGCCGTGATAACTTTTATCGAAGTCAAAATGTATGGACAAAATCGATAAAATGGCGTGATAACCGCTTATCGCGACGCGCATCTTAAGCCTACTGGTAGATATAATATTAATATGATCCTCACCACACGTTTATGTATAACAAAATATAATATTAAGGCACGTTCCTCGCAATTAAGCAATATGAATCAGGTTAGTTACACGTGTTAGATTTTCTGGGCTATTTTCCGCACATAGCCTTCTGATTGGGTCATTGTGCGAAATGAATAAGTATTATGCATTTGTATAACTAATGCTCTTTCTTGGCCTCCTGCTTCTAATGTACTTGTATATATTTTTGCAATAATTGTTGTTGTTGTTTCAGCCGAAAGACGTCCACTGCTGGACAAAGACCTCCCCCAAGGATTTCCACAAAGACCGGTCCTGCGCCGCTCGCATCCAGGTCCAGGTCAGGCACCTCCCGCGACCTTCACCAGATCGTCGGTCCACCTAGTGGGAGTTTGCCCAAGCTACGTCTTCCGGCTCGTGGTCGCCACTCAAGAACTTTCCTGCCCCAGCGGCCATCAGCTCTTCGAGCTATGTGCCCCGCCCACTGCCACTTGATTTTAGCGACTCTGCGGGCTATGTCAGTCACTCTGCATTGGTATTTGCAATTGGTGTGATAATATTCTTATGTGCTGGTGGTGTACATAATTCTCCATGACCATAAGCTTACTCTACGGAAGCTTGTATACCTAGAGTGTGTATTTAGCCTAACCGTTTAAGTTTTATTTAACGCCGTGTCTTAAAAACCAACGATAGGGACACTAACGGACGACGACCCTTGGCATGTATATTAAAACTTTTTCGCCTATAACAATAAAAAAGAGATTAAGAACTACGTGCTATTTAACCTCAAAGGGCGCAGTTAAGAAGCAATGAAAAGAAGCCAGTTTTTATGAATTCGTTCCGAAATAGGTCATTACAATCGGTAAGA